GAAATAAGTCAGGCAGAGAAGGACAAATATCATATGTTTGCACGTATAGGAGGATTAGGAGGAACTTGACGGAGGAACAAGGGGGAGAAGAAGGGCGGAAATGGTGGGGGAAAGGGAGAGAGGCAAACCATGAGAGACTCTTGAATGCTGACAAAAACTGAGAACTGATGGATGTGGGGGGGAGGGGGGTGATGGGCATGGAGGAGGACACTTGTGGGGATGAGCACTGGGTGTTATGTGGAAATTAATTTGACAATAAACTATTTGTAAAAAAAAAAAAAAAGCAGATCATGAGAGATCATTGTGGTGATGGAAATATTCTGTATCCTGACTGTATGAATGTCAATAAGCTAATTATGACATTGGCAAGGCATTACCATTGGCTAAAGGGTACACAAGATCTCTCTGTATTGTTCCTCACAACTGCATGTGAGTCTACAATTTTCTTAAAATAAAAAAATTAAATATATATAAAAATATTACCTTTGTGGTTTCTCTCCTGTCTGCACCCTGATTGATGCAATTCATCAGACTGGGGAATTTCTCTTGTCTTCCTGGTTCACTCCAGTTTGCTGGTAGTTTTAGTCAGAGTAGATGTTGATTTTTGCCAACTGCTTTTTTTGCATCTACTAAAAATAATCATATGTTTTTTTCTCTCTTATGGTGAATTATATTGTTTGATTTTATAATGTTAAACCACCTCCCATTCCTGGGATACATTAATTACTTCATTATGATGTATTAATCCCTTTATACATTGCTGGATTCAATTTGCTAATATTTGCTTAGGATTTTTATGTCTGTATTAGGAAATGTCTTTCAGATACCTAAGGGAGCAATGTTATTAGTTTCTAAAATTAAAAAATACTTGGAAAAAAATAGTAAAATATTAAAATTTGACAAGGCTGTAGGGGGAGTAAACAAAAATTTGTTACATTATTGTCTACACGTTCCTGCTTTCTTATTTTTGTTTTTCTTTCCTTTCTGTTGAACAGTCCTTGGATGCAGCTTGGAAGATAGATTCGGATGACAGATTGAGGACATAAAAACTGGGTTCTTTATGCTATTAGGAATACACGGATGGGATAGCCTTATGAATCCTCTTCACCTAGCAATGGGCCTAACAACACAGATTTGTTACTCAGAAAAAGTTTATTGAAGGAGTTCAGATTTATTTGAAAGACAATCCAATATAACATAATGTATGCTGTGGTCCAAACCCACCCTTAGGATCTGGCCGCTTATGGAAGTAGGCTGCTTATGGCTCATAATTCTTCTCTGGGAATTGCCTTCCACAAAAGCCAAAAGTTACAGATAGCCTCTATCACTGGTCAATGATAGGATATAAACTTCTGGCCCCTGCTCTTTAATTTGGAACAACTCTAGGCTCAGAGCATTCTTTGAGATTGGCTGAGGCCTCTGAAGCGATTGTTTCCATTTTTCTCCCTCTACCAATCCTGCCTCCATCACTCTCTCACAGGCGGGGTCTCTAACATAATCCCCACCACCGCCCTAATATTTCTGTACGTTTACCTCCTTTTCAGTCTCTTTATCAGGCAACTCCACTCAGGACACACATTACCTTATTTTAATTTTTTTCCTAGCAATTATCAATATGTCAAAGAACCTTATTTATTCGACGCTTTAATACTTTCTTATTTAAGACTGTAAGCCTCCCAGGACAGGCTTTTTTTTCCCCATACGCTGCGCATCACTGTATCAGGCGCCTAGAGCGGGGCCTGCAGAACACAAGCAGGCCCTAAATACTGCTTCAAGCAGGTTGTTGAAATAAATGAATGGACGAGACACACCTGATACTGGGTCTCGGGCTCTCAATCTCTCTAGAGCCAGCGACCAGCAGTCAGGCGCTGCGGCTGGGGAGGCGCCCCGAGTCCCCGCCCCTCCTGGCACGCCCCCCAGGCCCAGGCAGAGGGCGGGACCTCGCAGTCGCAGCTGGTGACGCGATGCGGCTTCCCGCGGTTCGGCTGGTGCGGCTAAGTCGGCTGCCCTACGCCGACCTGCTGGCCCTGCAGGAGCGCTGGCTGCGGCGGCTGCAGGCCGAACCAGACACTGAGGCCCGGTCGGGGACTGAGGCGGGCGCGCTCCTGCTCTGCGAGCCCGCGGGGCCCGTGTACACGTCTGGGCTGCGTGGCGGCCTGACGCCGGAGGAGACGGCGCGGCTGCAGGCCTTGGGCGCGGAAGTACGCGCCACAGGCCGCGGTGGCCTGGCCACCTTCCACGGCCCGGGCCAGCTGCTCTGCCACCCGGTACTAGATCTGCGACGCCTAGGCCTGCGCCTGCGCACGCACGTGGCGGCGCTGGAGGCGTGCGCGGTGCGCGTGTGCGAGCTCCAGGGCTTGCACGGAGCCCGCGCGCGGCCGCCGCCCTACACCGGCGTCTGGCTCGGGGAGCGCAAAGTCTGCGCGATAGGTTAGTGCGGGGGCGGGGGCGGGGCTTGGCAGGACTGGGCCAATGAAGATGAGGGCAAGCTCGGGCTGGGAGGAACTGGGTCTGGCGCGGGCTTTGAATCGTAACTACCCGCTGCGTTGAGTTTTTAAGGCTTCTCACGGATCTCTTACATTCTCAACCCTCCGGTCGACCCTCAGTGGTCATCTCCAATATTCATCTTTTCAGGAAGTGCATTGCCAGGTTACTTCCAATGAATCGCAGTGTTTGGACAATAATGGAATTTAGTAGTTTTCAAACTTTTTTTTTAAACAATATAATCTGTTAAAAGACATTTTTTGGAATTTCAATAATAAGTGCAGCAGCTGTGGAGCCACACACCCCTCTCCCGCTTCCCTGATCTGTGCACAACCCCTTGGGTGCTCAAAAACAAACCTGGAAAACCAGCGATCCAGTCCAGTTCCTTCATCGCACCGAGGGGGATCTTGAAGCCTAGGGAGGGAGGTTGTCTACTCTGAGACCTTTTGGCTTCTCTTGCAGGAGTCCGCTGTGGAAGGCACATCACATCCCACGGCCTGGCTCTGAACTGTTCTACAGACCTCGTGTGGTTTGAGCACATCGTCCCCTGTGGGCTGGTTGGGACAGGCGTCACCTCTCTGAGTGAGGAGCTCCAAAAGCACGTCACTGTGGATGAAGTAATACCACCTTTCCTTGAGGCCTTTGAGGAGACCTACAAATGCACATTGATCTCAGAGAACAGCCCCAACTAAAGGGTGTTCATGTTATCACAGCTGGAGGTCCTGCTTGAAAAGCACTAAGCCTGACTTGGAGTCACTGAAACCCAGATTCTAGACCTGGTCCTACCATTCACTCACCATGAGACTATGAGCAAATTATGAGCCCTTACCATTGTTTCCATATGTGTACTGATTTATTTATATCTTTTCAGCTACCTCATATATAGTAGATGTGAAACATGAAAAGCAACACATGCTATATAAATGTAAGACATTAGCACTACTATTGACACCATTTTCTCAGAGAAACTCAGGCATAAAGAATCAGTTCCTAAGCATTTATTACTTTCTAAATGCTGTATTTAATTGGGCAATTCTGGGATCCAGCTCCTTTCATTTTATAGGAATCACACCTCTGGATAGCCCAGGTGAAGGTGATGTGGGTGCTTTTTCATTCTCAAGAGACCAGGGTGCTTTCTTCGATGAAAGGAAAAGGGGAAGGAATCTTTAAAGAATAAAATGAGATCTTGCCTTCTTCGGTTGGATTCTCCAAGCCTGATAGCTATTTTTAGTTGGGTAACCTCAGCTAGACCAGAGGCCAGGGAAAGAACCAGAATAATTTCTTACACTGTACAAATGTGAGATCCCTAAGTTTATAAGGCTGTGTATTATTTATTGCTACGCAACAAATCACCCCAAAACGTAATGGCTTAAAACAATAAGCATTGTCTCACATATATTCTGTGGGTCAGGAATTTGGGAGAAGCTTAGCTGGGTGGTTCTGGGTGGAGATGAAGTATAGTCAAGATGTCAGCTGGGGCTTTCATTTGAAGGCTTGACTGGGATTGGAGGATCACTTTCCAAGATGGTTCACTCTGATTCTTTGGTACTGCTTGTTGACAGGGGGCCTCACCATGTGAGCCACACCACAGAACTGCTTGTTCCCCTGGAGCAAGTGATGCCTGTAAGAGACAAGGTGGAAGCCAAAATGTCTTATGACCCAGCCTTGGAAGTTACACAGTCATTTCTACAGTCTCCTAATATGTGAACCCTACTCAGTGAGGAAGGGACTGCACAGGGTGATGGGAAGTAAAGATCATTAGGGACCATCTTATAGACTGGCTACCACAGGCAGTTAGGGTGGAAAGATCCTGAATTAGAAGTCAGGTGGCCAGGTTGCCGTCCCAGCTTTTTGGGCAAGTCATTTACCCTCTCTGCACTTCAGTTTCCCTAGCACAAGCACTATTCAATAGAAATACAATGTGAGCTACACTGTAATTTTATGTTTTCTAGTAGCCACATTAAAAAGGAAGAATAAACAGGTGACATTAATAATACTTTAATTAACCTAATAGACCCCAAATATTGTCAGTATAGAAATGTTTTACATTCCTTTTCTCCATACTATATCCAGATATTCAGTGTATATTTTCCACTTATAGCACACCTCATTTTGGAGTTGTCATACTTCAGATGTTCAGTAATCATATGTGGCTAGTGGCTACCATACTGTAAAGTGTAGCTTTAGGTAATATAATATCTAAAGTCCTTTTTGAGCTTCCAGGGTCCTGTGGCCCCAATGGCTTCTAGAAGAAAGGTGAGTTCTCCCACTTCTGAGGTTTGTTGTTTGCCTTGGCACACAGTTTATATCAGTTATATCAAGCTGGAAGGGACTTTGAAGGTATGTCCCTGTCTCCTCATTGTACAGAGACAAAACCAAGACTTTGGAAGAAACTTGCTCAAGACCACGCAGTAAGTTAATCACAAAGCCAGGACTGGGTCCTAGATATAAGCCTCCTTTTCATCCTCTTTTCCTGCTCTGCATACTGACTTATAGGTCAGGACAATATGCTTTACGTCATGGACACTTGGTCAATATTAGTTGATTGGTAGTTTGTCTCTCCGTGATTTACCTATATTCTTTCTAGGCCTTTTATTTCCCTCCATGGAGCCAACAGTACTACTGTAAATATGTGGGAAGTGGGTAGTAGTTGATTATTACCTTGGAGTTCTGCCAAGAAGGAAAATAATTATTCTCAGGAAAAGTGGAGTTAGGCTCCCATGGTTGTAAGGCTGTGCCCAGTGTTGCTCCCCATCTAGTACTTGACTTCTCCCTCTAGCAACCCTAGTAACTAACCATACAGCTTGATCTCGGATACCTCCAGAGACTGGGGAGAAAACACTTACTCAGCACTCATTTTTAGTACCAGGTACTGTGTTAGCCCTCTTAAGTATATTCTCTCATTCAGCAGCCTGTCCCGTGTTTCTGGATCACTGAGACTCATTCTGCATGGCGTAGTGACTGAGTTACCTGGCCTTCCTGAGCCTCTGTTTCATTAGGCTCAAAGCTTGGCACAGAATAGGCAGGAAATGTATGGTAGTTATTAATGTTCACCAAATATTTCAGACAAGATGGTACTTTGTGGTTCCCTTGTGGTTGGGTGGGGCCAAGTAACTTGTTCTGATCAATGAGTTATGAGTGGAGGGGACATGCCACTTCTGAGCCGGAACATTGAATTGCTGGTGTCAGACCACTTGGGGTTTCTCTTTCCCTTCGGAACAGTGACCAACAACATTCAGTATAGCAGCTGCTTCCTGAGGGACTGCAATGAGCAACGGCTCCTGCTGCTGCTGGAAAGGTGGTATAGTTAAGCCACGGAAATGCAGGTGTTCATTACCACAGCATAACCTAGCCTATTCTGACTGATATAATATGTATATAGTAGTTGGGACTCTTGTATTTGCAAATGTAGAAACCCCACTCTAACTTCTGCAACAAAAAAAAAAAGAAGAAAAGAAAAAGAAAAAAGCGTTACGATGTGGGCATTATTGGAAAAGGTACTGGAGGGTCTCATAAAATCCAAGGGTAGGGCTGCCGCTGGGCTCGAGAATAGTCCTGGAGCATATGTAGCCCTTTAAGAACCCAGATAGTCTCTTCTCTCCTATTCCGTGCCTGACTTTTTGGTGTCTGCATCATTCAATCTATATATTCTCCTATCTCGCTATCTATTTAGTTCTGGAGATGGAAGAGAAGGGCAGAGGACTGATAAATGTGAGGCATAGGCGAGGAGGGGCAGGCCAAGGGGGCAGAAAGGCAGTCGGCAGAGAAATAGTCGGGCTCGGAATGAAACAGCAGGACAATCTCCTTCACTCCTTTGGCAGCAGAGCAGTCTAGGTAGGATTATTTTAAGGATGAGAAAAGCAAGGCTCAGCAAGGCTAAGTGACTTGTTTGAGGCTATGCGGTTAGTAAGAAGAGTCACTTCCTGGCTCCCAGGCTGGATCTCTCCACTCTTCCACAGTAGCCTCTGAAGGGTGAGCATGCCAGGCATCCTGGAAAAACCAAGCCTCCAAGAACAGGTGGGATGCGGGTCGTCAGAGCCAGGAGGATGCAGAGCAGAAGGTCAGAGTAGGGCTGAGGCCAGGCCTGTGGAGTCAGGTCAGGCCACCGCTGTGGGTTCCTGGCTCTTCTTCCTGCCTGGACAGAGCCTACCTCCGGTTTCCCACAGGGGCCCTTCCTCAAGCCAGGAAGCTGAGTGTACGAAGAAGGATATTTAGCACCTCCAGAAAGCCTCTTCTTGTTTGTGCCAATCTTTTCCCCATAAAGAGGTTGTTCAGGGTCTTGTAAATGAGTGTCAGGCATGAGCGTGTGACCAGCCACAGTGTCTGGTTCAGCGTCTTGTTCCTCCAGTGAGGCTGGCAGAAACCAAATCGAACCAGCTCTTGGCAGCGTGACCCAGTACGCCGTACTTCTTGGGGAAAGCCTCTCTCTGAAAGCCCTGTAGAAATCAGATTTTTACAATCTAAATCTGGTTTTCCTTTTTGCCTAGTTATACTTTGCCATACATAAAGCCCTACTGTATTGAAATACCTATAAAATTTAAAAATAAAACAATACATGCACTCCCATCTGACAACACCTCCCTTCCATTAGTGTGTCTCTAGTACTTGATCATGAACATTTTATGTACTTGTAATTATGTGGATAAAATTATGTATACTCTTTCCAACCAAGCATAATATTACATACATTTTCCCACATTGCTACATAATCTTTATAGTTATATTTTTGAATGTCTTAATTTTGTTTTTATTTTGTTTAAAACTTAGAGTTTTAAAGAAAACTTAGGTTGTTTTAAAAATAGGTAATGCATGCACATGGAATAAAATTAAAAAGGTACAAAATGGTAGCACTGAAATATAAGTCTTGCTCCTATTCTTTTCCCCTGTAAACTCAGTTTCTTTCCTGGAGGCCTAAATGGTGGTAAATTATTTTTTTTATATACTTCAGAGATATTTTATGCATCTGTAAGTGTGCATGATTATATACATTCTTTTTCATATAGTAACGTACCATAGACACAGTATTGTACTTTGAAGACTGTTTCAGATCAGTATATAAAGAGCAACCTCATTTTTAAAAATGACTACAGAGTATTCCATTCAGTGGATTTCCTATGACTTATTTAGCTAGTGCCCTATTGAGGACATTTAGGTCATTGCTAATCTTTTGCTTTTACAAATAAGGCTGCAGTGAAAATCCTTATAGAAATGTGTATGTATGCCTGTCTGTCTGTCTGTCCGTCTGTGTGTATGTGTTACATCACACGTGGTGAATACAGGGGTTGCATTTTTAGAAGTGATTTTCTGAGTCAAAGAATATGTGTATTTTTATTTTAATAGCTATTGTCATATTGCCTTCCAAAAAGTTACAACAATTTTTACTCCAGTAATATACAAGGGAAATGCCTGAATTTTACATGTTCCAGCATTTTAGGGGCACCTCGGTGGCTCAGTGAATTAAGCCTCAAACTCTTGACAGCAGGTCAGTTTATGATATGGTGGTCGTGAGTTCAAGCCCTGCATCAGGCTCTGTGCTATCAAATTCTCTCTCCCTCTCTCTTTGCCCCTCCCCCAATTGCACTGTCTCCCTCTCTCTCAAAGTAAATAAATAAATTGAAGTTCAAATGCTCTAGCATCATAGTTTTTTTCTCATTTTTAAAGTTTTTTTGATATAAAATCTTTTTAACATACCACAATGAACCTCCAGGTACCCAACATGCAGCTAAAGCAATCATTAACTCATGGCCAATCTTAATTTGTCTAAACTAGTACCTACTTCCTGCTTTCTCCCTGGATTATTGTGAAACAAATCATAGATACCATATTATTTCACCCATA